AAAATTTTATTTTAACTGTTTTCAAAGAATGTTGTACACGTTACTTCATTATTTCAATAGAAGTATTAGGAATGTCGTTTTTAATATGACTAATTGTTATTGCTTTCTTGTTTATTATTTTAAAGACGGTTCAAGTTTTTGTCAAAAAATGAAATTGACTAACCATTCTGCTTTAATGTATTTATGCAATCGAATTATGTGTTTTACACGTATAACTTATGATTTTGAGATTACAAGTAACAATATCTCTTTTTATAACCAATATCTCTTTTTTTTATTTTCAGGATATAAAGGTTTCTAGTGAAGATACTAGTAAGGTAGTAAGCTGTCCTCGTAGTTGGTAAGTACAAGAAATTTATGAAATATTTGAAAGAATTTCTTTGAGTCGTAGCGGCTGCATGAAACACCGCTGATTGGGCGCTCGTACGCCAATTTTCCTCGACGGCGCTTCGCCACGAAAAATCGCTAAATTGCTTCTTTGAAATGCTGGAAAAGCGAAGGAAACGGTTCCCTCCGTAGTTCGCCCGACAAGTTCTTCTTGGTAGACTTCAAGCGTCGTTATTCGCTTGATGATCCGCGCGATGTACTCTGGCTGATTTTCTCCCACCTCCGCAAATCCACAAAGTAGAACAGTTCTCGAGGAAAAGAAGTATTTTTGCACATACATAGACTAAATAAGAATGCATGCTTGAAAATTAAAAAAAAAAAAATAGAATTTCACTTTACTTTTGATTTATTAAAAGAACATACGAATTTAATTCATTACCTTTTGTTGTTATTTTTCATATAATACAAAGAACGTTTTCAAAAGACACAAGTTAAAATCAGAGTAGTCTAATATTTTAAATTTTCATTCTTTTGCAGTTCAAATTTGTTTAATAATTTTAATAGGCATTTTAGTTTTTCGTTTCCTTATTAATAAAAAAATTATTTGTCTTTGTCCAACGATGTCAATTAAGGCATTTGACCTTGTCAAAAAGAAAATGTGATTTATCTAAAAATACGCAAAGTAATACGTGAAATTTAAGCGTATCAGGAGATACGGTAGTGTCTCGGGTGTCAAGTCAACCGAGAACTGCCGTATGACTTTACGCGAATCGTCGAGGTTCGAGCATCTGAAATTATCGAATCTCAATAACAGCTATACTGATCAAGTTCTAAGTAGGCTTGATCGATAGCTTGAGTCCGACTTGCATGATAAAAGTATTTTTATTTTTCTGCTACGTGCCCTACAAGCAGAGATATTGCTACACAAAGTCCGATTTGGAAATTTTTACTTTAAGAAACGTCATTATCGTCGCCTTTGTACGGCTGCAACGTCTGTCACGAGATGTCATTATTAATCTTATCGACCCCAGCGGATTATCAGACTGAAGTCAGGGTTATTGTAGAATCTAGCGAATCAATGTTCGCTGGGTCCTGCAGTGACCTTAATTTATCGGCTGATTTATCCGCTGGGTCGATAAAATTGATTGATGTAAACACGATAGTGTTTTTGGTTAGACCTCTCGGGTATCAATATAATAATAAATATGCGTATATTAAAATTAAAAAGGAAACATTAGCAGTATTAATAAATTGCATACTACTATTATTCTTTTTCTGCACGTCCGAATGGTGGCCAACGATGTTGACGTTCGCGGCGAGTTTGACAATTTGTAATAATTTCGGAGTGTAACTCATGTTTGTGTCTATACTTTGCAGGTAAGTTCTATTTTTCATTTTATCAGAGAACAAAGATATTATTCTTTTATTCAATCTTATCTACATACTCTTATTGTGTCACTCTAGAAAAATCAGTTCCAAAGCGAATAAAAATGAAAATTTGTCAATTAAAAAAATAACATATCTAGAGAACTATACATATATTATAATTTTGAATCATATTTCTAATCAACTAT